CTTTTTCTTTCTGGGGAAGTTGGTATTTACGATGTTAAAAACTGTTGAAAAATATAAGCCTGTTTAAGGTGCATAAAGAAAAAATTCTGAGTTTGATTAACGCAACAGTAAAAAATTTCAAAACTGATGAAAAGTATAGGTAATTTTGCAATTAATAAGAAGGGACAATGAAACTGCAATTAAATTCTGTCAATCGCTTCATAAAATCTTTAAAAAAACGGAAGATGTCTATATTAATGAAAATAGCCCAACAGTAGTACCTCGAGATGTGTGTAAAGATACTCTTTTTTAGCCCAAAGGGTAGTTAGACCTAAAGGGCTATTCGTCTCGAAATGGCATTTTGCGTCGTTTCACTTTTCAAACTGTTGCCATCAAAAATTATCGCCTTGTATTTTATTTAAAGAAACTAAATAATGAAGAATCGGCATGAATGCATGACTGTTTCTCGCATTGTGAAAAAACAAAAGTACCTACAGCCATCAAAATTTGAATAACGTAGTCCTCCAACCGAACCTTGGAAGACCTAATTTTTTAATTTATTTTATTGTCTATTTTACATTTTGTAAAACTTTAACGAACTTTTGATTAACAAAACGATTTCAAAGCGAGGAATGGCAATATTGTATGAAAAAAAAATTATCTCCAGCGTGCGAGACTGTGTATCCGAATTTCTAAAGGTATGCTGCTTTTAAATATTATTTTGTGATATCGCTGTGCAATTTTATGTGGATGAAGTGAGAAGAACATGATATTTAACAAATACAGGTAACGCATAAAACGTTAAAAAACGGTCTTTTGTGCATAATGTAAAATCTGAAAGCTTCCAAATTTTTTTCCCCTTTTTTTTAAGGAATAGTGATAAAACATATCACGGGCAAAAGACAAAATACTTTTAGTAACTGAAAGAAAAGTCAACTCCTTCGAAATGTACTGAATATTTCTTTAAAATTAAAGCAGTCTAAGTAGAAATATCATTTATTTCAAAAAAACTTTTGCAAATAAATGATAATCATTTGCGCATAACAATTTGTAATCTGAATCCGTAGGTCACTAATAAAAACCAATAAATGCAGTTTTAGAAATAATGACAGTACATTGCAGTATAATTCTGGATCTTCAGAACCTGTTAATCCGCAGAGATTAAGCGATTATTTTTTATCAGTTTTTCAGTGATAATTTTAAAATTAACAAATTGTTAGCTGCGATAGCATATGAAACTGTGATAAATTCGGTCTCCTTACTAAGGAAATATCTATATGTAGTGCTTACATATACACAATTTACATAAACAGATACATAATCTATATACACTGACTACCAATAAGTATTTGGACACCTTTGATAGAAAAGAAAAACTAACTTTATTCAAAATCAATAGTTGGTAGAGCCTCCACGAGAGGTAATTACAGCATGGACCCTCCGGGGCATACTTTCCACAAGTCTTTGTATGACAGCTAGTGGTATTTTCTTCCACTCGGCTTGGAGAAGACATAGAAGTTCCTTCACCGATTTTGCACGGGTAGTGCACCCCTGAATTCGGCGATGCAACTCGTCCCAGAGGTTCTCGATAGGGTTCATGTCTGGATTCTGGGCAGGCCAGTCCATTCGATGAACTCCATTGGCACCATACCAAGCCTTGGTTAACGTCGAAACATGACAACTGGCATTGTCGTCCTGAAAGTAACAGGGGTCCAACACGTAAACCTGCCACAAGGTAGGAAGCACATTGTCATCCAAAATAGTGCAGTAGGCATCGGAGTTGAGCTTACCATGAATGGGAACCAAGGGTCCCAGCCCATACCAGGAGAAACACCCCCAGACCATTATTCCACCTCCGCCGAACTTGACTGTTGGCACAATGCATTCTGGTAGGAGACGTTCTCCAGGTAGACGCCAGACCCAGATCCTGCCACCCGAACGGTAAAGGGTGAGTCACTCCAAAGAACTCGTTTCCACTGATCTACGGTCCAATTTTGATGTGCTTTGCACCACATTAACCGAGCAGCGCGGTTGGACTTTGTGATCAAAGGCTTATGGGCAGAAGCACGACCATGAAAACCAAGCACATGTGCTTCCTTACGGATGGTATTCTTTGAAACAATACTCCCGAATGCCTGTTGAAACTCCTCGCGGACGAGGGCCATCGGTTGGGTGCGGTTCTTCCGAATTTCTCTGGACAGCACTCGTCGGTCTCTATCTCCCAGTTTCGTTGGTCTGCCGACTCGGGGCACATTCCGACAATCACCGTTCACCTTCCACTTCTTAATCACATAGGCCATTGTCGATTTTGGGTACTTCAGATCGTTAGTTATGTCCCTTAAGGATCGGCCACATTTGTGATACCCGATAATTATACCTTTCTCGAAATCAGAGAGCTCCGAACTGCGAGGCATCTTGCATGCGACTAACGCCGATGCTGTTTCCTACACGATATATACCGGCGGAGTCCTTGACGTACCTTAGGACCGCAGATATCGTCATTTGCATAGGTGTCCAAATACTTATTTGTAGTCAGTGTATACAAAAACGCCAGAAGTACTGGTATACCAAACTAATGCTTGATAGATCTTCTACGGGAGCGTATAATGAATTTCATGAGTAAGAGGTATTCATGAGTAATTTCATGATACCATAAGCAATGAATACCATATTTCTTGCTCATCAGTCTGTAATTTTGCTGTATTTGGAGGAGTTACTATTTCTTCGTTCATGGCATCTCTGCATTTGATAACTTTGAGATTTAGTGACTCGGGCAATCATGCAAAGATTCCAAACTCAGATGAGGATTCGTCTAACCCCCAAACTGGCATTTCTAGATTTTGTGAGATTTCTAGGTAAGTATTTTCCAATTACAGGAATGCAAATCCACAAGAAAGAACGCATGGCATGGTAGCAATAACTTATCAAAACGGCTAAACGCGTAGTGATCATCCGTCAAACGTTTATTGTAAACGAGCTGGAAGTCCTAAAGAATGCCAGTTTAATAAATCGGATCGATTAACAGAGTCACCGTATTCCAGAGAAGTCTTCTTGTAAGTGTTTGGAATTCCATGGATCCACGGGTCTTTCTTCATGAGCAGTGCTTTCTATCTTCTCAAGACAGCCGAAAATATGACTGTTTTGACTGGACTACTAGTTTCCAGTCACCATGTATCCGATTTCATAACTGACATGCCTAATGAGCTGCGTAGTACAGTCATCAATGGTACTTGGATTAGGTATCGACTCCTAAAGGAGAAGACCATTGCATAATCCTCATGTTTATGTTTATTATGTCTCCAAAAATGTTATTCTGATATTACTTGAGACACAAATGCTACAATCAATTTCTTGAAAGGATCCTTGCTATCTGATGTTCGTCATTGTTCGTCTAAAGTCTTTTTACAGCTAGCTTACTGCCGCAGGTTTAAAGTTTTTTCGGAATGGTTGCTATCGTGGCACGCTCTTGAAATGATGGTGCCTATGTGAACTTCGCTTCCACCTCTGAAATGCTGTGATACATCTTAAAAGCTTCAACAATTAAACAATGTTCAAAATAGCTCAAATCGTAAATACTGTATACTCTTGCATTTTATTCTTTTATATTCTAAATTTATATTCTTCTAGCAATGTTAGAAGCTCCCTCAGGTGTCTGAAAAATGCACAGGCAGCGTCGCTGCGAATTCTGGATAAGCTCATATGAATCAGCTTAGTAATACTTTAATGTATGCACAATGAATCTCATTTTGTGAAATTGTTCCATTGTCTTTCATTTAAGAAAAAAAAATCTGATGTGTGCACCACATGACTTCCTTGTACGGAATGTTAAATTATACGCATTTTTTCTTGCATTTCATTTAAACTTATTGGATTGAATTAAATCTACTTCGCTTATAGCGCATAAACTACAATAGAATAAATGCATTCTTTAAAATTCCTCTATATTGTTTCCATAGCGACACTTTGGCGCTAGATTCACTTAACAGTTTATATTTCGTTCATATTATACTGAATGCACAAAATTTATATCATTTAAAAAATAGAATTATCTATCGTTGCCACATGTTCTATCAAATACTATAATAAATCAGAATGATGAAAAAAATTAGCAAACAAAACAAAAAAACCAGTTTTCTACACTGATTATTTCTCAATCAAGTAATTCAGTTCACTTCGCGACAAGAAAAATACATAAAAACTCAAAATATCTGTATTAAAAATTCAAAGTAAATTAAACACTTATTCTCGAAAAAATTCCAGAAAGGATTAAGATGATTTAATTCGCAATAATAAATGAATGCGTATCTTGTTGTTGCGAAGCTAAGTTTCTCTCGATTGGCAACAAATCCACTAGTCTGCTGTTCAAATGTAAATCAATGGCCACCATAAAAAAAAAGCTTAGCACACATAAAATTTAAAATTGTTGATATCTAAAAATTGCCTACAGATTTCTAAAGGCATAAAACCTTAACCGGCAGATAAAAACAACATAATACGATCAATTTTAAAAGCAAAAAATGTTCAATTTACAACGTATAAGGTAAAGAAAACTGAGATCACTGAGCCGGGTAACAGAGTGGATATATATATAAATTATTTATGTACGTTTGGTGCGGCCGATTGCAACCAAAATACAGGTGCCATCTACATGTTATAGCAGTCCTATAACAAAATTTACGTTCTGAGGCTACTCGTTTTGCGTTAGGTGATACGTACATAGTACAGACGCAAGAAAAATTCTCTTCAAATCATTTTAAAGCAGTTTTTATACTTTTGGAGGAACGAGTATTTTATTCTCTCCTTCTACAGATATCACGCAAGACAGCGTTAAATTGCATTCGATAGCGTCAGAATGGATATTTTCGTTGAAATATGCTGCCTGAAACTTTTCGCGATTACAATACTTCCTTTTTACTTCGTACAAAGAAGTAAAAAGAAAGGAAGTTTTCAAATTTATTATCAAATTTTAAAAACCTTACTTTTAAATTTTTATTAACCGAATATCTTTCTTGTCTTTGTAGCTAATACAGGAAGTTATATTGATTTCAAGAGTCAAGAGGAATGTCAAAGACACGTGACTGAGAAAGGTGACTAATCTGATTTTTGCTGATGATTTAAATGTATATAATTTTCACATGTGAACTCTTGTATCCCTTAGCTAATAAATCAAGATACTGTGATTACTTTTGTGTTATTACAAACAAGATTTGTCTCTCAGTTTCGTTTCAATTATACAATCTGCTGTTAAGGAGAAACATTCCGACAACTTAGGATAAAAAAATAAATTTCATAATTTTTATCTACTTGTCTCGTTTTTAATTGCTAATTCCTCCTAACTTTCGTGAATCTCAAAATTAATTACAATTAACTTTCATGTGATTACTTTCATGATAACATTCCAACAGGTATTTTATTTGAGAAGATGTTCCCGATTCATTCTAAAGGAAAAAGGGCCTACTAACAACTGAGTGGATAAAGCCCTATTGTTCGTGGTTCTTTGCGAATAGGCTGATTGAATGCAACTTCCTGTATCTCCCATACAAAACTTGATTACGAGAAAATTTTCGATAGAAATTCCCCCTCGAATACATCCCTGCTTTAACACTTAACCGGTGCGTGCTTTGCCACAACAATTCGATAAACAGTCAAACCAACATACAAAAGCAAAAATTAATTTACATCATCTCCTTTCAGTCTGCTTGCTTGTAAGAAAGAATACAGCAAATATATATGTAAAATAAAAATTATATCTAAGAACGAATCATCAGTCGAAGAAACAGATCAAGAAAACTTAGATTTTGTTCCTCCCCCCCCCTTGTTTTTGCAAGGTGAAGATTTTATACTCACATTATTATTTGCCTACGTTGTTTCTTGACCATACGTCAACTGCGATAGCAACGATTCAAACGGTTTCATAGATTTAATTCCAACAAAATTTAACGATCTTTTAAATGAAATTATTGAATTTCGAATTCAAATTACTCTAATATCTTTTATAATATTCCGTACGCGCAACATTTTAATATCTTAAACAACCGTGCGTAAAGTTGGCCTCGTTGATCCCGAACATCCATTCTAGAAATACAGGAAAGGTGCAAATTCATTCCCCGTTGCTGCTGTTTCAGAAAGTAGAACGACATCATTCTATCATTTTATTCCATGCTCCCCGCGAGATGGACTCGGGATCCGATTCCATCTGGACCGAGTGTGCTGGGGCGTTAACGGCATTGGCGGACTTCCTCCGTGGAAGGCGCTTCCGCGGGATGACCCCGGATCTGCACGGATGCGTCACCCTCCATTGTCCTCACGACAGTCCCGCACGCCACTGACCACTACAGCCCCACATTCCCTCCCTTCCAGTCTCCGTCCGCTGCCGTTGGCCATTTCGCTACGACGGTTTGTTGTCAGACGATTAAGCATTACTTGTTGCTAGTTAAGCCATATGGTAAGTCAATATAGTGGATTGCTGGGACTACCATCTAATATTCTTTGTGAAATCACTTTCTTTACCTTACTAACCAAAGGAAACTTCAATACTGCAAAGAACGTAATCACATAAACACCGAAATTCACAGCATTTCATTGAATTTTGCATAGAACGCTATTCTTTTTTTAACATATCCTAATAAAATTGTTTAACTGAATCGACGTACAATGAGTGTCGGTTAACAGTTCGCATATTATTAATATAATCATTTGTGCAAAGTGTGCCAGAAAATCAGGATCACGAATTACATCAAAGTCATTAGTTAAATTAAAACTTCAGCTTTAATTTCAGTACATGTGTTACGGTGAAACACCGAAATCTGGAGAATGTCGACTTTCACCGGTGAATGTCAAACCTTCACATAGTCCCTTGGTGTATGTCCGAAATATTTTCCAAATACTCTTATTTCTGACTTACACCGGAATGTGACATTCACCATGTACTGATGGTGAATGTTGAACAATAAGAATATTATGTTCCTTCTCCGTAATTCATTCGCGAAAACGCCTTGGACTCAGAATAAGAACTTAAGATATAAGAACTTCAACCACAGTACATTCACAATGAAAAGGAAATAATAGAAGTTATAAACTTACAATTATGTGATCTAAATCTTATTTATTGCAACAACTTAAACTATTATGACACAATTGAATTGCACAAGAGGCCCTCGCTTTACAACGCATTTATTTGTGGAACACTTCCTGGATGGCAGCGTGTACATACTCCTCTCTTTTCGACCTACACAGAGCATATCTGTGATTGTGACTACACGGTGAGGGTCGGTGCAGAATGTAAGAAATATTCGATCTTTCACCGACGTATTTGGTGAATGTTGACATTCTCCGGTGAAAGTCGACATTCTCAAATTTCGGTCTTTCACGGTAACATATATATTAAAAGGAATCTTTAAATTAATTTGAAAGAAACAAAATCTGAAAGCCTTCAGATTTGATATCACGCTCAAAGGGGCGTTTTCTTCATACACATACACGTTTTGGGAGCATTTGAGCTAATGTTCCTTTGGGCTAAAAATATATAAAATCTGTCTATCTTTAGAATTTCCGATAGAAATTCTTGGGCATTGGAGATAATATTCCCGCCCCCCCGTACAATGTCGCTTTGAAATCGTTGAATTTGTTGATCAAAAATTCGTTAAAGTTTTACAAAATATAAAATACACAATGAGGCAAATTCTAAATTCAAAATTCGGGCTTCCAGGTGTCCATGTCGGGTGGAGGACTAAGTTATTAAAAAATTTGATGACTCTACGTACCGTTGCTTTTTCACAATGCGAAACACATGCATACATTCATGCAAGTTCTGCATTATTTAATTTCTTTAAATATAAGACCGAGCGATAATATTTGGTGGCAACAATTTGAAAAATCCTTCAGACTTTTATTCAACACAAATTCTCGTTTTGAGAAAAATAGCTCTTCTGGGCTAATGCTCCTTTGGGCTTTAAAAGCCAACTTAATTTTTAGCAACACTCTGTGATAAAAAGGAAGAAATATTTTCATAATGCGGAATAAATGCATAAATATTATAAGGTATTTTCTTCCTCCTTTCTGCCTGCCTTGGTGGTGTGACGGTATTACACTCGGCGCATATTCGAGAGTTCCAGATTCGAGTCCTGGAGCTCATTTTTCACGTGTCCGGCTTCAAACAAACTTAATGACTCTACGAGATAATCGTTTTTCATCCATATTTGAGATTATATTCCTTCTAATAATAATTGATATGATCAGAATATAATATTACCATATCTTAATAATATCCATATATAATTATTGTTAATACGATCAAAATACAAGTATTATAAATTTTTTTCTGACATTAAAACAAGTTAAAAAAAATTCGAGAATATCTACAGGGGTTGGACAAAAATATGGAAACACCTTTAAAAAAACATGTTTCTTTGCTTAATAGGGTGTAGGAAAACCGTTGGCATCCACACAGCTGCAGTCTTCTCGGAATGGATAATACATTCCTGTATGTTTGCAAGGGAAATATACCATTCTTCCTGCAAAACGGTGGCAAGTTCAGATAACGATTTTGGCGGTGGATAACGAGAACGCACTTTCCGTTCCAATGTAGACCACAAAGGTTCGATAATATTCAGGTCTGGTGACTGTGGTGCCAGGAGAGATGGGACAACTCATCCTCTGCTCAGAAAACCAGTCCTGGACAATGTGAGCTGTGTGAACAGGGCTTGTCGTCTTGGAAGACCCATCCCCATCGGGGAACAAAGTTTGTACCATGGGATGACTTGATCGGCCAAAATGTTCACATAGTCTTGGCAGTCATGTGCCCTGACACGTTATCATGGGCTAGCAGAGAACCACGATATGGCTGCCCGAACCATACCGAACCCCCGCATGTTTCACTCTTGGCAACAAGCATCCTGTATTATAGGCTTGAGATGGTGTTCTCTAGACTTAATTCGCCAGAATGGGAAACAGTGAAGAAGACTCGTCAGACCATATTACTCGCTTCCACTGCTCTATAGTCCAGGCTTTTGACTTCAACACAACCTTTTCCTGTTACGGGCATTAGCATCACGATGAGTGGCTTCTCATTGCAGCACGGCCAGCAATTCTGTTTATAAGCTCCCTTCTAATGGTTTTGGTACTCACATGTTCGGTAACACAACATTCATTTCAGCAGTACTTTTGCTGCTGTGTCTTCTTATTTTTTGTCACAAGCCCTTAATGATCATATGTCCGATCACTCAGGACACACTTTTGTCCGCGCTGTGATTTAGCAGATGATGTTTTTCCGCTTTTCAATATGCGGAATAAATCTTCGATACAGTACCCTTGAAACCTAACACCTCGCTACCTTGCTTACGGAAGCACTTACCATACGTGCTCCAACAATTTGCCCACGTTCGAAGTCTGTTAACTTCTGACATAATGCAATGACAACCTCACATAACAGTACTCCGACAACAACTGAACTGTTTAGCACATTTACGAAGCTGTATAGGTGGCGTCAGTAGTCAAAAATGCCAGCGCCACCTACATATTTCATTAAAATCAATCTTTCTTTTCAAACATGCATTTCACAAGGTGTTTCCATATTTTTGTCCATCCACTGTATTTAGTCTCTGACATACACAGATGTTTAAAAAACAGAATTATCAGTTTTTATGTACAAAGATGTTATCTTTTTGAATTTTGCATCATGTTTTAATTTGAACTTACCATAATTTACTAGTGATTTGCAAAACCAAATGTTCACAGATGATCTACATCTCTGATACATTATAACATAACGTCCATTAGAGAATAATCATCGTATTATTATCTGTATAAACATATACGTTGAAGAGCATATTAAGTGTCACGCTGTTAATTATATCTTAACACAGATTATATATAGGTTATGTACAGGTAGGTTCATTAGATGTTTATTAGATTATGTACTTCATTGTTACTTCATTTATGTAAGGGTCCTATGACCCTTACAACAATGAAGAAAGAAATTCAGTTCGATTTAGGTGTGTTATGAGGTAGGCCATATAACGGACAATGATTTTATTCCTGCGCAATGAAACATGCAAAGTATATTGACATCTTGACTGCCTAAAAATATAAGGATGTCATCCGAAAAGTTAAAAAACAACCTCATATCGTTGAAGCTAAGTGCAATGGAAATCCAAATATGTTTTTACCAACCCTTCACAAGGTG